CCATTGTTGAAGCGGTTATAATACAAAGAAGTTATGCCCTACAAGAATATCTCTGAATCATTGTCCTACAATTAATGGAAGAAAAAACAGAAAAAAAATTTCCAAAGTTTTGTTTATAACCAACTGAAATGTCAGGATGTGCATATTATGCCAGTATTGATTTCTTTATCCCAGGTATGTCTTGCGCACAGCTAAGAATCTCAGCTATAGGATCAGAGGCACTGTATGTTCATCAGTTAAAGATAGCCCTTTGTGGTTATTAGAATGAAGCTGGGCAAGTCTACCTGTTCCTTATGTATAAAATGAGGAGTTTTAACTAGTATTCACAATTTCGCAACACATGGCCACGTACAACTAACAGTCATTTCCTGTCAATCCATTCATTAATTCCTTGACTCATTTATTTATTTTTAGACAGGTTCTTGCTCTGCTGCCTAGGCTGGAGTATAGTGGTACGTAGTAGCTTCTTGCAGCCTGCTTTACCTTCCTGAGTAGCTGGGACTACAGGCATGGGCCACCATGCCTGGATAATTTTTTTTTTTTTTTTCCTGTAGAGACAATGTTATATTGCTCAGGCTGGTTTCAAACTCTAGGCCTCAAGGAATCCTCCCTTCTTGGCCTCCCAAATTGCTGAGATAACAGGTGTGAGCCACTGTGTCCAGCCCATCTCCCTGTCAACCGTTCTGATAAGTTAATAAGACATCTTATTTTGGAGTTCCTATGTCTTCTACTACTTGGTAAATTGTCTTTCTTACTAATAGAAAGATGAGTCTTCAAGTAAGCTAAAATTTTGTGACATTGTTTTGTTTACACGGTATTTATTTTTGTGGTTAAAACCTATTATTGGCAAGTAATTCTGGTTTTCTATTTATGGTAGGTGTGGGAGTCAGCCTCCAAGATGGCTCTCAGTGATTCTGTCTCCTTGTATGCATGCTCTTCTGTAGTCCCTTTCCATTCTTTACCAGGATTGGTCTGTGTGGCCAATCAAATACGGCAGAAGTAATGGCATGTTACGGGTGAAATCATATAAGAATAGACAATGGTTCTTCTGCATTGGTCACATACTCTCTTGGATCACTTGTTATGGGGGATGTAAATTATAACATTACTCATGTTACTCCACAGAGACCACAAGGATGCCAGCTTGGGCTAGTGTTGTAGTCCCACCTATTGATTAGAGTCAAAAGTAAAGCCCACTCCTGCCTAGTGCAAAGCTCTGAATAAAGTGCAACAGCTTGCTAATAACCATATTATACTATGCCAAGTCTGGGGGATAACCTATAATTCTACCAGGTATTAAGAATGGAGTGCTAAGTGTATGATATAAATAATGCAAGTTGCATCTTTATAATTGTTTAAGAAAGTGCTCCAAAATATGTATCTGGGCTTTGAAGCATATTTCTATTGTGTCTTGATAGAAAAAACAGAAGAATTGATGAGTTAGGTTATCAAAGGACTGCAGAATTTTAGAGCTGTAAAGGGCCTTTGAGAACATTAAAATCCAAATAAAGGAGGAAACAGAGCAAAGACTCACTTAACATATTCTACATTTTAACTTTTCTTATTAATCATGTAATCTCACCATCATACTTTACTGAAATACTTAAATAACAAACATTTTAATAGTATAGCTAATATTCAATTAAATTTTACTGGAAAACAAGTCTAGGAATTTAAAAGCAGGGATTAAGCACAGAGGGCATATGGCCTGCATTGGTCTTCCGTAAGGGAGGTGACTTTGTTTTCTGTTCTGATTGCATTTGGATGCTTTTAGGTAGGGCATGTGTGCACTCCTCCCCACAACTGTATTATATTTAGCCAAAATGACACAAAGTTGGTCTCCATAAGCATTTGAATTTGTACCACTTTAAAAGAACAATTTTAGTTCAAATGGAGGAAAGTAAACATTTTTTAATAGCATATTTGTAAAGGTTTCATTGTGAATTTCACCTTCAAAAATCAGGGTGTCAATACTTATTATATACAGCATAGATGCTCTTTAAGATGTATCTTTAACTGTTTAATTGTTTATAAACCCATTATAAGTCAATAGTGCATTTTTTGATTTAAGATATTTTCAATTCACAATCAGTTTATCTGAAGGCAACCCCATTGTAAGTCAAGGAGCATACTGAATGCATATCACTTTCCCATCATTCATAAAAGTTGAAAAGTCGTCAAGTCAGGACTGTCCGTATTACTATTATCACTGCATTTATATCATAGAAACACTTAAGCAGTTAAGAAAGCGAGGAATAAGGTAAAGTGATGACATGGAGAGGGTTCCGTCTTTTGTGTATGTGTTAAATAACATCCACTTTATTAGGTGCATTGCACTAAGTAGGGCTGGGCTTTACTTTTGACTCTAATCAATAGGTGGGACTACTACACTGGCCAAAGCTGGCATCCTTGTAATCTTTGTGGCATAATAGGAGTAAATTCATAATTTGCTAACATATTCTTTTGTTTTACTTTTTAGCAAACATATTTGCTAAAAATATGTTTGTTAAAAAGTAAAACAAAAGAAAATGACTCATCTAACTCCCATGGATATGCAGATACACATAAGACAAATAATAATCCTCATACAGTGAATAATTATGTTCCTTTAAAAATTAATACAAAGCAGGAGGCATCACACTACCAGACTTCAAACTATACTACAAAAATTAATATAATCAGAGCTTTAGGCCACACTGCTTTCAAACTGCTTTAGAAATAACTAAATTATATGACTACTTTTTCCAAGAGGAGTCACTGGTAATATTAGGAAATTTCAGACTCTCTTCTAGTAAGTTTGCTATGGAATGAATTTCTCCTTCTTTAGGAGATAATGCTGTTGCCCAGTCAGCAGTCTGAATCTATAACAAAGTAAGATTTGTATTATTACAACATTTATATAGTGAAATCGCCTTCTCTAAAATACCTTTCCTGACCTCCTCATGCTGAGTTTCTCTCTCCCTCTCCATATTATAATCTCTGTACCTTGTCACTGTTAACACATCTTTCACTTCAGTGGACTGTGACTTCCCAGGGGGCAAGGATCAGGTCTTAATGGTATTTATTCTACTTAGCACAGTGCCCTGACTTAACAGGAAAAAAAAAATGAATGAGAAATGAAATGAATGTGTTTTTTTCCTATCACAGTTCTCACTGTCACTCATTTTTGCCAGACCAGTATAGGTGGTGACTTTAAAACCTATTAGTTTACAGGAAGTTAAAGCCCATAATTTTAATACATGAACATTATGGTATGCCCAAACTTAACATCATTTCACATGATAGCACTTTCTTACAGTGTTACCTTATGCTCCCTGGCCAAACTCCCAGGTATTGACTGATACTTTTCTATTTTATTCTACATCTTTTTGCGTTGTTGTTTGAAATAACTTCCTGCCCATCAGAGGACCTAGGAGCCATCTTCCTCTCCCCTCTTAACTGTTATTTAGCCTTCATGGGCTTTGCATATAATGGAAATTTCAAAATCCAACTTGAGAAATGGTAAACAAGAAGAGGAACAATAAAACTCTTCAAAACACACACTACCTTCCACTGCTCTTTTGAAGAAAACTTTACAGCTTCCACAAGTTAAGACTCCATAATGACATCCTGAGGCTTCATCAGAGCACACCAGGCAGAGTTTGGGAGGTGGTCCCGTTGTTGCTGTTGAGGAGCTAGATGGAGGAGAGCTTACATCTGGTCTCATGCTGGGGCTAAAGAAGGAAAAGAACAGTGTTATGATTTTACTGTCAAAGGAATATCAAAATACAGTTATGTTAGCTTTTCACTTCATAGTCAGAATGCTTACAGTGAACTCTGGCTTCAAGTAGTAGTAGGCACTAAAATATCCTATCTAAATACATTCGAATAATGTTATATTCTTCTTTTAAATAAAAAATGAGGCTATTTCTTTTGAAGTGTCTCCAAAATAGAATGGTGTGGTTTTGCTTCACTTCTTTTTTTTTTTAGATGCTTAGGATTTATTTTTATAATCACCTTTATTAAGGTGTCACACACAATAACATTTACTGTCTTCTAAGTCTGTAATTTATGGTTTTTGTGAATGAATATTCATGTAACTACTATCACAATCAGGAGAGAGGATATTTCCATCATCCCAAAAAGATGCCTCCTACACCTTTAATTGGTTAGGACATAATTTTTTTTCCTAATTTTAAGATCTTATACAGGCATCTTTTAAAATTCAATCAAGTATCATTACAATTCTACCCATGTTTCCTATTAGAGTGAAATATTTTTTACAATGTTAAAATTTGGTCCCATATCTCTCATTCCTAATGTCATCTTGGCTGAAACTACAATTTCATATGACTCAGAAAATACCGATTCAGAAACATTATTTTCTATAACCTTCCTGTCTGGCTTGCAGTAAGACTGGACAAAGCACTAGGCTTTCAACAGTGAGTACCATTCTGTACAATCCAATCTAAGACTATTTGGCCTGAAGAAAAAGACAGAAATGTGAATCTGCTTCTCTTACTAGGTCTCTAACATATTTCATTTTCTCACCACAAAGAGTGCAGGTCTAGTGATCACTAGGTGTTTAAAAGATAATTTGTTGTTTAAAAAATTTTTAATCTCAAAAGTTGAAAGAATTGTACAATGGATATATATTTTTTACCAATATTCACCAATTCTTAACATTTTGCCACATTTGCTGATAAAGATGTATTTTTATAAACCAGTGAAACTGATCTTTTTATTACAGGAGGAAAAATTAATTATTGCATTTCACATTAAATGACACAATGATTTTCAACGTCGTATCCTCCTAAGGAATTTTCCTCTTATGTGCTGACTTTAGAACCAAAACTGTATTATGCAGCCAAAATGATTTTCTAGCCTTCTGCTTATAATTAGAGACTGATAATTAGAGACTGCCCATTCCATTTTTAGTCTTGTTCTTAAGCAAATCTTCAAAAACATGGATGCTGGCAACCTGTTGATTCTGGAATTCTTTCATACTAAAGTCTGTTTTGTTTATCACCTATACAAGTTCAGAAACATAACAGTACTCCTCTAAACTTTTCTGAATTTAACTTTTCTCTAAAAAAGATGGCACTTAGAAATAAACTTAAATTGGATGTTAGTTGTCTCTTTGTCAACCTTTATTATCTCATGCTTTTATTTATTTCAGCCAATAATAGTAGTAAATTTCAATTACAAATATGTTTAAACTAATTCACAGAGCAAAATAACTTAAAATTTTTTCTAGTTATCAATCTGGTTAGAAATTGTATTTATTAAGTAACATTTTGTTGCTGTTCTTCTGTTTAGGAATAAAAGTTAAAAGGTAATAACTGTAGAATGACACTTTCTTTTACAAATGTTACCTTAACTAATTAAGCCAGTAAATCCAAAAGCTCCCCCTAAATTCTATCCTCAAATGAAGCTTCCTGAACCTTGCCAACTGTCTGTTTACCTAACAGGCTTAGTCAACAGGACAGCATTCCCACCACCCTAATTCTGGGAAAAGGCCTAGGGTTTCAACATTGTCCTCTGAACAGTATTAAGAAGAATTTCTAGATGCTTCCGTGTTACAAGGCACTGATTCCCTGCTAGATTTGGGTGAGTGGACTTACTACATATTGAAAGCCTGTAACAGAAGACAATAACCTGAAATGACTCTGCTGTAGGTCTGGCACATGCCACTCCTGATCAGTGGAAACTTGTGACTAATGTAGAGGAGCTGCTCTGGGCCAGAGTTTTACAGCAATGTAGGAAGGTCCTGGAACAGTGAACGGTGCAACAATGTGTTGGGGAAGTAAAATGTTCCCTGGCTTCTATTCTGAAGATGCTCCTATTCCCTGCTTAGCCAGTCTCTGTCACCTGATATCTATTTTTAGGGACCAACCAATTGTTTGTATATTAGTTTACAGAAAATGAGTACATGGTTTAAAGGTTAGAAAAGTATTCTGTAATATTTCCCCAACGAATTATGTACACACACGTATGCATATATACTATGTATTAATATTTTAAATAATACTTTGGGTACTTTGTAGTTTTAGCTCTCAATACCCCTGTGAAAATGAAGTCATCACCCCTGGATGCAGTCATCCAGGCAGTAGCAGATGGATGATAAGGGAGCCTGTCTATGGTTAAACTGACATGTTTTAGATTCCAGCTGTACCACTTCACAGCTTCTGTTACCTTGGGTAGGTATCTACTACCCTGACCCCTGAGTTTCCTCATCAGTAAACTGGGAAGGATATCACCTGTGTATGTGTGTTGTGAAAATAAGATAACACACAGAAAATCTAATACACGTTCCTGCTTCTAGCAGGAACTCAATACATGTTCCTTTTTCTTTTTCAGTAACACTGAAGATTTTATGAGGAAGCATTATATAAATGGAAGGTAATATTAAATCTAAATCCTAGGACAGTATTCCCAAATTCTTAAAACTTAGAATATATGAAAAACATGTTTAAGCCACTCAACTGTATGCTACAGATGACAAGGGAAAATAAAAATGAAATGAACTAATGGACTGATAGTACAGTAGCTAAAAATCTGGAACCTAAATCAGGCTTTTGGCATCCCTTCAGGCAGTCATTCTGGGCTACATCAGATAAGAATTGAGTACATGGAAAGCTGCCAGATGTACCATAGACATCAGTGGAAAAAATCAATTTTTGTCACAGAAATAAGAGGACTAAGATAGCCTATAATGAACGCCATTGGAGAAAATGGATGAATGCTAAATGGCGTTCAGTTGCCAAGGGCTAGGGTACAACAAAATGGTTAGAACTCAAGAGAAAACCACATGGAATTGACATCTTTAATTAAGGATACATGGCCGAAGGAACCAAAAGTATACCACAGTAAGAGTGCATATTTTACCCCCTTTGAATGGAAAAGCTACAATGTCCTGGTCTTAAGGGCATCATTATCTGTAATAGTTATTGATTGCTCAATGTGTGTTTACAGCTGTGCCAAACATTCTGAGAACGTTAAGAAGTCCCATTATGCTAGGGTGCTTGCTTTTAAGTGAAGAACCCTCAGAACAAAATGCCTTGTTCCAGGTAAATACCTGAAGGCTGGTGGTTCCCAGTCAGAATGGCAAATGTGGTAGAAACTGAGTAATTCCTGAGACTGAGTTTATGTTAGAATTCAGAGAGAGAAAACCATCCATAAAGCCAAATATTTCTAATTAATTTTCTTGCAAGCAAAGCAACTGATACAAGGAGGATTACGGGTGAAACAGTCATGGATGGATTATGAGTTAATCACACAATTTGAGATGCATATTCAGGCAGACACTTCCTGGCACCTGAATGAAAGCCAGGCACTGTGAGGATACAGTATCATGCTACAAACGATAGCGAACCTTGAAACTCTGGTCTAGGAAGGAGTACCAGAATATTTTGAAGCCGCCTCTTGTGTCTCAGTACTATCACGGAGAGAATCAGCTTTACAAACAGACAAATCTGGGTTCAAATCCTAGCTCCAGTGCTCTAACAGCTGTGTGACAGTGGCTAGCTGACTTGACTTCTATTCCCTTATTTGTGCCATTTTAGGGGTTTGTGTGGATTATATATATTAGAGTTATATAATCCATTGTTACATACTTGGTTTCATCACACAATAGGTCTCTACCCCTCCCCCAAGGATTATCTTTTCTTCTCCCCCTATAACTCCTTCTTCCTTCCTGGAGGATCTTAGGGAAAGAGAAGTGCTATCGCCTTCTCCCTGAGCCTGGAGAAGGTTAATGGTCCTCCAGAAACTTAAGTTCGGGTAATTATAGATTTCCTTTTTTGATACTACACCAAAATTTCAGTTTAGTTTTTTAAAGGTTTTAGTGTGGCAATGTGGAATCCAAGACTGTTAGCAATGAATTTTTGACTAATTGTTACATTGAAATCTGTTAATCTCTCTTTCACTTTGAATGTATCTTTTACCCATGCATAATTTTGTCATATCATGCATTAGTCATTTGGAAAATATTGGTTCACTGAGTTGTGCAGATCTTTCAAATGTTGACATAGTTCATTATATAATATAAAAGAGTCACATTTGTCAAGCTCACAGCGGCAGATACAAGTCTTCAAAAATTCTAATTTTTGCTTGAAACCTATATTTTATCAATTGGCAACAGGTACTTTGTTTTCCTTAAGTGCTAAGTTTACTTCAGTCATTTTTGGGGAAACCTCACCAAATACCCAAGGCTGAACTATAGTTTATGTCTCGTGGTATTCCATGAAAAAAAGTGGATTGTTCAACTCACAGTTTAATCTTATACACGCTTTTCTTTGAGATAACTATCAAATGCTATATGTGATATAAGTAGATTATGCATCTTCCATTTTCTCACAGTGATGTGAGAAAGACCACATGTATTTAAGGGTTGAGATTTAACAGAATTAATTTTTTTTTTTTGCTTCTTCAAAGACTGTAAGCGCATAGCAGTGAATACAGTAACTACTATACACTAAGATACCAACAGTTTTGCTCATCTTTGTTTTTGTACCATCAGTGCAAATGTCAACACAATGAAATGGCAAATACAGTATGTGTTACTGTGAAAATAGTCTGCCATTTCAGGGGAGACTCCCAGGGCCCCATGGACCACACTGGAAGAACTGCTGTTATGGAGACTAGTAAGGTGAAGACTTTAAACCAGATAGGTTACAAATCATAACCTAACTCTACAATGTAATAGCTAGGTGACTTTTTAATCTTTCTCAATCTCAATTGCCCTACTGCTAACAACAGTGGTAATGTACCTGACAACAGGATACAGTGTTGCTTACTAAATTAGAGGCTGTATCTGACAGAGAAAGGGACAGAGTTAATAAACTATTACCCGAATGATATGATTGGCTTAGTCTTCAATTTAAGTGAATTAATCAGCAGTTTTTCAGTGTAATGCAAGAAATTTATTTGGGAGAAAAAACAAAGATATTATCTCCTCAGAAAGCAAATATTAATATGGGAAAAATTTCCAGAAATACAGCTGTAAAAACTGGAGTTATTCTTTACAACTACAGATAGAATGGGTATATGCTCATTTGCTTGTCAGTTTTTGTCCAAATACTGTAGCACAGTAGTTCTCAACAGGGAGCAAAATTGCTCCCTATTGGAGACATTTGACAATGTCTGGAAACATTTTTGGTTATCACGGCTGGGGAAATGCTATCGGCATCTAGTGAGAGGAGGTGAGGGATGCTGCTAACCATCCTGCAAGGCGCAGGGCAGCCCCCACCACAAAGAAGTATCCAGCTTCAAATGTCAATAATGCTGAGGTTCAGAAAACCTGCCATAAAGTTTTAAGCAACATAAAGTGGAAAAGAAAAAAAGAAGGACCAGAAACATTCGAAAATCTTTTAAACTATCCTTAAAAATGCAACAACTGCATTATTGAGGCAGCCCTAAACAGTCCATTCAAGACAAGTCCAAAAGGAGATTCAAAACAGAGCTGAAGCCAAGCCATGGACTATACAGGTTTAATTATCAAGTACAGCATTGGCTTGAGCCAGACATTTCTTTTTTCCCTCTAGCACTAGCACTAAAAGGTAGTTTTTACACATTAAAGTCACCTGCACTTTTCTTATCTTTGTTCATTAGGAAAAATGTCAATACTCAGCTGCACACACCAGGTGATTATATTTTCTGATTGCCCATTTATCTCTGCATTAGCTAAAGGATTACTGATTTGTTTGATAATAAGCTATGGAATAGTTTTCAAATCAAATAGAAAAATGCTTTAGGGGAAGCCTTTCACAATATTGCTGTTAAATGATTTTAGCAGAACACATTTTATCTTATTTAGCAAGCCAAAGAAAGACTGATTATTCCCTTTGCTTTGCATTTATTGAGAGAGGTTTGTATTGTTTCAACTTTAGGTTCATATTAAGATAGTTCATCCAAACTGCATCATTTATATTCACTCAACTTAGGGAGAGGGTTACAGCAATAAAGCCTACACATTAACAGATCAAGAGAATTTTCAGTAAAGGATTTTTCAGACCTCTGAGACGCCAGTGGCCTACTACTCAGTATCTCTGGGCTTGGTTTCCTTGTTTGTAAAAATGAAGACCTTGATTTAATTAACTCCAAATAAGCTAGCCATATCTTGCAAGGTGGGTTTGGGGATGGAGAAGTGGAGAGGAAAATACAAAGGGTTTCTTAGGTCCTGTGCATTTATTTGTATAGAGAATATGATAATGTTATCTATGCTACTTAAAGTCTAATCTGTTTCTCATTGGAAGAATTAATCCTCAGTTTGGTCATTGTGTTTGGGTAATTTAGTTCCTAACAGCTATATCCATTTTCACTCTTCAAACCAAGTGTCAAACATGGAGAAAAACAGATTAAGTCTTGAGACCCCAAGCACTCCCTTCTCAGGCTATATGCCCTCAGTCCTGTTTGCTCAGGCTTGCATTGGGGGATGAGAGTTTTAAGGAAAAACAATGATAGTACACTGAATGGTAAACAGAATACCAAAAACAAGTATGGTAAGAGCAAAGCCTGAAAACTTTTTTATCACATGGTTATTTCTAGAATGAAGACCGGATTTTGTTCTCACCTTATGGTTCTTCACACATAAGAGGATAGAAGGATAATAGATGGTTTAGACATTCAGAATCATGAACATGACATCTTCAACGAAGGCAAGAACATGTTGGAGACAATGGTACAGTTATTGCCTTTTCCAACAAGCTATCTTGAGCAGCTTTTGAAATGTCATTTGTTTTCACCTCAAGTACAACGAGATAACTTATTTCTATTTTATGCAATTCCTTAAGAGAGATTTGAATTTCTCTCACTATGCTTAGTAACCCAGACTTACATGCAGAGATTTTGCCAATTCTAATCCTTCTTCTACATCCTATTTATTACTCCCTGTAACGCTATGTCAGGACATTTTCCTTCCTGTCCATTCTGCCTGCTGCCATCTTAATGCATGCCTTCCCTCACCTCTTGCTCTAACCACTGCCATGGTTGATACTAAGTAGTCCTCCTGGCACTGGCTTCTCTTTCCATTCTGTCCCCCACCACACTGCTAAAATTATTTTCTCAACATGGTTAAAAATTGGAAGGGCTCCTCCACTGTCTACAGTACAAGTTCAATATGGTCCAAAATTTTTTTTTTAATTTAATTTTTCCAGTCATATGTCTTCTTCTCACTCCCCTACATAATCCAGCAGTTTCTTTATCACTACGGGTATCCTGTATTCTACAAATATTTATCAAGTATCTATGACAGGAGTAGCTTTTGCTAAGATCTGTTTTCCCTGCCTGAAGTGTCCATCATGGTATTTCTGATCCATGACAGCTTCTAGACTTCCTAAAACACTGCCAAGTAGCAGTTTGCACAGATGCTCCCATGTTACCTTTTGATGTATATGTATCCCGTTTCTAAAAATAATTTCTTTTAGGCAGGGCCCATGTCTTGGTTCTCTCCATATCAGCAGCATCTTGTACAAAGTTCAGTACATGTTCGCTTATTTTGCTTATTTATACTTTATATCTTCATCTGCTTTGCAAAAGAACTCTGAGGTAGCTAACATGGTAAATATTTATGAGATTATACTCAGAATACAGGTATCACCATTACTAGGCACTGTTATGCAAGCTCTTTCTTTGTATACATTATCCCATTTATATATATATATATATATATATATATATATATATATATATATATAATATCCTCTCCATGGACCTATAAGGTAGGTACTATTTTCAGCATTTACAGATGAGGCAACAAGATTAGGGAAGGTGAGTTGCCTAAAATGACTTAAGTAACTAGAAAGTCAGGATTCAAACCCAGGTCTTTCGGATACCAAAATCAGTGTTCTTAAGCAATCTTCTGCCTTCTCCACTATGATAAAGTGTCAGATCTGAGAAGTTGGGGTATATCCAGGTCTTCAACTTGAGGAATAACACTATTTTGTAGGCTGAAGTTTGATGTCTCAGTGACATAATGCAAAAAAGGTGGCAATTTTTTTCTGTGCCTGCTTCCAATCATGATCTGCAAATGAGGATTTTTGCCCAAATAGGCGTTGCCAGACCACGTCAAATAGGTAAAAAAACATTTGTCTTATAACTGTGTGACCATCTGTGTCATTTGACCAAATTTTCAAATGTTCCACAAACTAATGTAAATCGCATAGTGCATAATTAGCAGTTCCTAAGTCCTACAAAGACAGTTATAAGAACAAATGGAAATGCAGAACAGTTGTGTCTATATTCATATTAATATAAAGGAAGGAAAAATAACCCCCAGAGCCAATGTCAACCTGATTAAAAGCCACACTCCCCCTTCCTTCCCTCAAAGGTTTAATTCTTTAATTCTTAGATTCTCAAAATAACATGATAACTTCTTGGTTCCTCTGTCATGCCAGTATAGTAAATGAGTTTCTTTTGCTATCTAAATTTCCCTCAGGTTTTCATGCTGCTGCTTTCGCGTCACACTCAGGTTCCTACATATTCACTGAATAACTTAAAAGAATAATTTTAGGTACAGGACTCCCCACTTATCTGTGGTTTCCCTTTTGACAGTTTCAGTTACCTGCAGTCAACCACAGTTTGAAAACATTAAATGGAAAATTCCAGAAATAAACAGTAAGTTTTCAATTGTGTGCGATTCTGAGCAATGAAATCTTATGCCCTGGAATGTGAATCGTCCCTTTGTCCACCATATCCACACTGGAGACACTCCCTGCCGGTTAGTCCCTTACTAGCCATCTGTATTAGTTGATTTTCATGCTGCTGATAAAAACATACCCAAAACTGGGAAGAAAAAGAGGTTTAATTGGACTTACAGTTCCACATGGCTAGGGAGGCCTCAGAATCATGGTGGAAGACAAAAGGTACTTCTTACATGGTGGTGGCAAGATAAAAATGAGAAAGAAGCAAAAGCAGAAACCCCTGATAAACCCATCAGATCTCATGAATCTTATTCACTATCATGAGAATAGCACAGGAAGGACTGGCCCCATGTTTCAGTTACCCACAATCTCCCCGTTCCTGGGTCCCTTTAACAACACATGGGAATGCTGGGACATACAATTCAAGTTGAAATTTGGGTGGGGACACAGCCAACCCATATCATTCTGCCCCGGCCCCTCCAAATCTCATGTCCTCACATTTCAAAACCAATCATGCCTTCCCAACAGTCCCCAAAGTCTTAAATTATTTCAGCATTAATCCAAAGGTCCCACAGTCCAAAGTCTCATCTGAGACAAGGCAAGTCCCTTCTGCCTATGAGCCTGTAAAATCAAAAGCAAGCTAGTTACTTCTTAGATCCAATGGCGGGTACAGGTATTGTGTAAACACAGTCCTTCCAAATGGGAGAAATTGGCCAAAACGAAGGGGTTACAGGGCCCGTGCAAGTCTGAAATCCAGAGGGGTTCTCAAATTTTAAATGATCCAAAATGATCTGCTTTGACTCCTGGTCTCACATCCAGGTTATGCTGATGCAAGAGGTGGGTTCCCATGGTCTTGGGCAGCTCCACCCATGTGACTTTGCAGGGTACAGCCTACCTCCCAGCTGCTTTTACGGGCTGGCGTTGAGTGTCTGTGGCTTTTCCAGGTGTGTGGTGCAAGCTATTAGTGGATCTACCATTCTGGGGTCTAGAGGATGGTGGCCCTCTTCCCACAGCTCCACTACAGTGCCCCAGTAGGGACTCTGTGTGGGGGCTCCAATCCCACATTTCCCTTCCACACTGCCCTAGCAGAGGTTCTCCGTGAGGGCCCCACCCCTACAGCAAACTTTTGCCTGAGCATCCAGGCGTTTCCATACATCTTCTAAAATCTAGGCAGAGGTTCCTAAACCTCAGTTCTTGACTTCTGTGCACCCACAGGCTCAACGCCATGTAGAAACTGCCAAGGCTTGGGACTTCCACCCTCTGAAGCCATTGCCTAAGCTCCACTTTGGCTCCTTTCAGCCACAGCTGGAGCAGCTGGGATACAGGGACCAAGTCCCTAGGCTGCATACATCATGAGGACCCTGGGCCTGGTCCACATTTACTTTTTCCTCCTGGGCCTCTGATGGGAGGGGCTGCCGTGAAGGTCTCTGACATGGCCTAGAGACATTTTCCCCAGGGTCTTGGGGATTAACATTAGGCTCCTTGCTACTTATGCAAATTGCTGCAGCCAGCTTGATTTCTTCTAAAAAAAAAAAAATGGGTTTCTCTTTTCAAATGCATTGTCAGGCTGCAAACTTTCTGAAGTTTTATGCTCTGTTTCTCTTTTAAAACAGAATGCTTTTAACAGCACCGAAGTCCCATTTTGAATGCATTGCTGCTTAGAAGTTTCTTCCACCAGATACCCTAAAAATCATCTCTCTCAAATTCAAAGTTCTACAAATCTCTAGAGCAGGGGAAATATGCTACCAGTGTTTTTGCTAAAACATAACAATAGTAACCTTTGCTCCAGTTCCCAACAAGTTCCTAATCTTTATCTGAAACCACCTCAGCCTGGAGCTTATTGTTCACATCAGTATCAGCATTTTGGTCAAAGCCATTCAGCATGTCTCTAGGAAGTTCCTAACTTTCCCATATTTTCCTGTCATCTTCTGAGCCCTCCACAGTGTTCCAACCTCTGCCTGATACCCAGTTCTAATGTCACTTCCACATTTTTGGGTATCTTTTCAACAACACCCCACTCTACTGGTACCAATTTACTATATTAGTCCATTTTCAAACTGCTGATAAAGACATACCCAAAACAGGGAAGAAAAAGAGGTTTATATGCACTTAGAGTTCCATATGGCTAGGGAGGTCTCAGAATCATGGGGGGAGGTGAAAGGTACTTCTTACATGGTGGTGGCAAGAGAAAAATGAGGAGGAGGCAAAATTGGAAACCCCTGATAAACCCATCAGATCATGTGAGACTTACTATCATGAGAATAGCAAGGGAAAGACAAGCCCCCATGATTCAGTTACCTCCCCGTGGGTCCCTCCCATAACACATGGGAATTTTGGGAGACACAATTTGAGTTTAGATTTCAGTGGGGACACAGCCAAACCACATCACCATCTGTTACCAGTTGGACTGCCATGGTATCACAGTGTTTGTGTTCAAGTAACCCTTATTTTACTTAATAATGGCCCTAAAGCACAAGAGTAGTAATGCTGGCATGCTGTTTTAATTGTTTTATTTTATTAATAGTTGTTAATCTTTTACTGTTCTTAATTTATAAATTAGACTTTAACCATAGGTATGTATGTACAGGAAAAACAACATACATGTAGGATTTGGTGTTATCTGTGGTCTGTGGTTTCAGGCATGCACTGGGGGTTTGGGAACCTATCCTCCATGAATAAGGGGTGGGGCTGCTATATTTAGTAAATAAGGAAAACATCTGTAAGCTTATCCCTAGAAGTTCAAGGAGGTAAGAAATAGATTTTACAATTATATAAAAGTTATTGGCAGACATCTGCAATACAGCCAGTTAGATAACATATTTAAGATTGAAAAAGTTTTCAGTAGGTTAAACAAAATATCCCTTTCACAATAATATTCATATTGGAAACTACTGACTTGGAATTCTGTGTCTCAAGCTGCATGGCTAGGTATATTACATAAATAAATTATCTCAAGTAATTTTCACTGAGTTCATCTTACAGATAAGAATACAAAAATTAGGCCTTTTATTTGCCCAATGTTACATTGTAAGACACAATCTGGATCCGAATTCAGCTCTGCCTAATTCCAAAATCCATGTACCTCACAGACTGTGACTACTGCCTGGAAGGGGCCTGCACAGTAACATCCAATAAGCTTAACAGAGTTTTTAAAGATGATATGGGTCACCTAACAGACAGTCTTAAGGTAAGGTTAAACATCAAAGTTAATTTATGTTTTGCCTCTTCTATCCTTTGTATCACAATGAAGCACAAATTATAATTAAGAGACACAAAAGCATTCAGTCACTTCCATTTTTTTCTTTAGATACTTATGTTGATTTAAGCCTTAAATGAGCATATTGGCATTCCAAATTAAGATAATGTCATGCTGGTCATTAAAATGCTAAATTAACATGAAGACTGCATTTCAAAAATATAAAAGTATAAATAGGAGTGTTTCGTATATTCATACCACTATTTTTGCCCTCAGAGGAACTCTAAAACACAACATTATATGTTTGACTAATGTTTTCGACCCTAGAATTTTGGGGAATGAGTTCATTTTTTCTTAAGTATACTGTTCCACTAAAGTATCAAGCTGATCATCCAAGATGATATGAAAAGCATTTCCCAAACCACAGTTAAGTAAAATGTAGTTAATATTATACAGCCTTAACTAGAAAGGAGATGTCTAGCCGCATTACCAGTTTTGTAAATATAAGTTGTGTGAATAGATTTATATCTATTAACTAGAAAAAAGTATAGGCATAAATTAACATGTCATCTGATATGAGCAGATTGAGAAAGCCAACAAATTTCTAGTTATTCAATTTAAAGGGCACTTAAGTACCACAATGTATATATTTAATTTGACTACATAATAATAGCTGCTATTTACTAGTACTTTTTGATCTACAAATTCTGTAATCTTCATTACCATCCTGTATTAGTCTGTTCTGACACTGCTATAAAGATACTACCTGAGACTGGGTAATTTATAAAGAAAGGACCTTTAACTGGGCCACAGTTCTGCATGGCTGAGGAGGCCTCAAGAAACTTACAATATGGGGGAAGGGGAAGGGGAAGCAAGAAATGTCTTACATGCTGGCAGGAGAGAGAGCGAGCGAGCACAGGGGAAACTGCCACATTTAAACCAACAGCTCACCTGAGAACTCCCTCACTATCACAAGAACAGCATGGAAAAAACTGCCCCATGATCCAATTGCCACCCACCAGGTCCCTCCCCCCAAAACAAGGGGGTTACAATTCAACATTAGAGTTAGGTGGGGACACAGAGCCAAACAATATCATTTTGCAACTGGCCCCTCTCAAATCCCATGTCATTTAACATTTCGAAACCAGTTATGCCTTCACAACAGTCCCCTAAAGTCTTCACTCATTCTAGCATTAACTCAAAAGTTCAAGACCAAAGTCTCATTTGAGACAAGGCAAGTCCCTTCCACCTATGAGCCTGTAAAATCAAAAGCAACTTTCTTAATTCTGATATAAATTGAGGGTAGAGGCATTGGGTAAATATTCCTGATCCAAATGGGAGACACTGGCCAAAACAAGGGCCACAGGCCCAATGCAAATCTGAAACCTGGCTTGACAGCCATTAAATCAAAAAGCTCCAAAATCTCCTTTGACTCCATGTCTCACATTCAGGGCACACTAATGCAAGGGGTGGGCTTTCATGCCCTTAGGGAGCTCCACCCTGTGGCTCAGCAGGATCCCCTGTGGTTGCTTTCACAGGCTGGCATTGAGTGTCTATGGCTTTTCCAGGCTCATGTTGCAGACTGTCAGTCAATCTACTTTTCTGGGGTCTGGAGGATGGTGGCCCTCTTCTCACAGCTCCACTAGGCAGCGCCCCAGTGGGGACTCTGTGTGGGGGATCCAACCCCACATTTCCCTTCTGCACTGCCCTAGCAGAGGTTCTCCATGAGGGCCCACCTCTGCAGCAGACTTCTGCCTGGACATCTACACGTTTCCATACATCCTCTGAAATATAGGCACAGGTTCCCAAACCTCAACTCTTGTCTTCTGTGCACCTGCAGGCCCAATACCACATGGAAGCTGTCAAAGCTTGGGGCCTGCACCCACTGAAGCAATGGCATGAGCTGTAAGTTGGTCCCTTTTAGCCACAGCTGGACTTGGAGTGGCAGGGATGCAGGGCACCATGTCCTGAGGCTGTGGGTGCCCTGCCCAGGAAACCATTTTTCCTTCCTACATCTTGGGCCTGTGATGGGATGGGGCTGCCCTGAAGATTTCTGACATGAACTGGAGACATTTTCCCCATTGTCTTGGCTATTAGCATTCAGCTCCTTGTTACTTATGTAAATTTCTGCAGCTGGCTTGGATTCTTCCCCAGAAAATGGGGTTTTCTTTTTTATCGCATGGTCAGGCTGCAAATTTTCCAAACCTTTATGTGCTGCATCACTTTTAAACAAAAGTTACAATTTCAAACCTATCTTTGTGAATGCATATGACTGAACACTTTCAGAATCAGCTAGGTCACCTCTAGGATGCCCTGCTGCTTAGAAATTTCTTCTGCCTGATATCTCAAATCATCTCTCTCAAGTTCAGGGTTCCTCAGATCTCTAGGGCAAGGGCAAAATGCTACCTGTCTTTTTGCTAAAGCATAGCAAAAATCACCCTTGCTCCAGTTCCCAAGTTCCTCATCTTTAACTGAGACAATTTCATCCTGGTCATCATTGTCCACATGATGATCAGCATTTTGGTCAAAACTATTCACAAGTCTCTAGGAGGTTCCAAACTTTCCTACATCTTTGAGTTTTCTTCTGAGCCCTCCAAATTGTTCCAACCACTGCATGTTACCCAGTTCCAAATTTGCTTCCACAGTTTCAGGTTATCTTTATAGAAGTACCTGACTGTCTGTATTAGTATATTTGCAACTCTGT